GCCTTGCCAATACTCGAATACTTAGGCTACTTAGCCTTAACACCGGGCTATACATTGTTTTAATGACATAATGACATATTTGTGCTCTAACAGAAGAATTCACATTTTCACAGCATATTTACATTAGCACTCCTGGTATTGAGAAGATGTATCCAAATTTGCCAAAATTCACTTAGTTCTGAACCCTACAATTTCCCTTTTCTGTAATCTTGCTCCTGCTTTTATTTTTCTCCTCTCCACTCCTTCTCACATCCACTTCTCTCTAATGATATTAAAAATAAGACTGAAAGAAAGCTCAACCACATTATAGCATTGAAACTTAATATATCAGCCCTCCTAGGACTACTTGCACTGTGAAAGACAACTTAGCTGAAAGAAATTATCTATCACTTTCTGCTGTCAAGGAAGATCTTGGGGAAGTAAAAAGCCTTCTTTCCATGTTCTCTTAAATAACATGTAGGTGATTACACATTCTACTTTCAGCTTCTAGAGGAGAAAGTTTGCAATGGAAAAACACAGAGGAAGTAATGATAGGGGGAAAGAGGATGAGGGGAGTATTTCATTTTAATATTTAAGTGGGGAAAGAAGGAGAACAGGATAGAACTTTACCTTTTCCATATCTGGTAAACCACCATACTTTGTGGAAAGGAAACATACACTTTCAGTGCTTAACCAATATGCACCAATAAGGAAACCGTTTTCCAGGCCTTCTTTTGACAGAACAATCCTAACTAATAATGCAGACTGACATTTTGTAAAAATGTGTTTTTGTCTCCCTCTCCTTCTTTTCCCTCCCCTATACTCATTTAGGATCTGATCACAGAGTCAGCACCAGGCTATGCATTATGCCTCATCAACCAGTGCCCCTTCATGGCTTCACACCAGTGCTCATGTTATTCCCTTTACCTGAAATCATCTTCCCGCTGTTGCTCTGCCTATTCAACTCCTATTCATCTAGCAAGCCCCAATTAAAATGCCAGCCATGATGCCTTCTTCAGATCTACCCTGAGCAAGACTAATCCCTCCCTCTATTATGACTCCACAGCACTAGTGAACATGTTTATATTTTATAACTCATCAACTTATATAATTAATATATGTTAATATGTTGCTCTACTCCACAAAATGTAAACTACTTTAAGTTGGGGACAGGTCTTATTTATTCATATTTTCTGTACCTAATACTACTATATATCAGGCATGATAAATATATATACTACAGTCTGAACAGTGTAAAATATTAACAGTTTCATAAGGTAGACAAGGTTTACAGACATAAGAGAGCAAGATGGTATAATGGATTGGACTAGGAAAATGAGGGTTAGGTAAGTACTAAATTCAACAATATTTATTAAATAGCTAGGAGACAGGAATTATGTCCTGGGACTACTAGGATAAATAAAAGTCATTTCCTTTAAGGTGCTCACAATCCACCTTGTAGATACTCTTTAAAAGTAGCCGGGCGCGGTGGCTCAAGCCTGTAATCCCAGCACTTTGGGAGGCCGAGGCGGGTGGATCACGAGGTCAAGAGATCGAGACCATCCTGGTCAACATGGTGAAACCCCGTCTCTA